TGAAAATGATGAAAATCAAAAGCAGGGTAACATACCTATTCTCCTCTCCAACCGTTAAGTATCTCATCCCGCCACACTTGGAGTTCTCCACGAGGCTCACACTTCTTTTCATCTGCCTGTCTACTAGATAAAGAAGACAGATTCAAATAGCAACGGAAAATCTAGCAGCTCTTCCAAGTCTTCCGGAAAGAACTCCTCCAACTCAAACGAGGCTTCCTCGAGTGGTACGCCGCCAGCAATCGTTGTCGTAAATGCAGAACAGGTTCGAATATCATCTTTACCATCAGTATTTTACGTAAACTTTCATGTCATTTGCACACACACAAACTTTTCTGAACATCGTTATCATATGCAGAGAGGACATATTACCTCCGACCAGAACCCACCACCTTCTCCAGGCTCTCACAAGTCTCACAAACAAGAAGAACCACCCAAGAGCGGACCTATAAGTCGGTTAAAGGGAACGCCAAAGGACGTTATACCTATCAGCAAAGTCCCTCGTCGACAGAGATCATCACGATTCTACGTTACAGAGAAGGTTGAACTAGAGCCATTGCCTAGCTTCCACGGTTGGTGATTCTAGATGGTTATGCATATATTTTGGGCCCATTCGTTGCCGTACTCAGTTTTTTCCCTACTGCTTGTCATTCATTAGAAGTTGCGGCTGATCGGAGACAAGGGCTTTTCATTGAAAAGATCCGGCAATGCTATGTAATTTTTGACTTTAATGATGCTAGTGCTGACCTGAAAGGAAAGGAGATTAAGCGTCAAGCATTAACGGAAATGTTGGATTACATAACAAAAAATCGGAATGTCATAACAGAGCCGATTTATCCAGAAGTAGTTCAAATGGTAAGTATGCCATTGAGAATTCGTGTCCAATACGATTATGGTTTTATTATTGCGTTGACCGAGTCGAATATTTTCGTAATAACGAGAAAAAAAAACTATCATCATTTTTTTTTCTTATGAAATATTCCTATCCATCTCCTGCACTTGTATTTGCCGCTAACCATTGGATTTTTCACTAAGATGCTTTTTATCTTGTAAAAAACTTGCTAGTTTGCTATCAACCTTTTTAGGACCATACCTCCGCAAGTCAACCCAATAGGAGATGCATTCGATCCTGAAGAAGATGAGCCAGTTCTTGAGCTCGCGTGGCCACATTTACAGATTGTCTATGAATTCTTTCTACGGTTTATAGAATCGCCTGATTTTAATACGAATATCGCAAAAAAATATCTCGATTCACAGTTCATACTGCAAGTGAGTTATGCTGACGACCAGAGTTTCTCTTATACGACTGAATATACTTATCTTTTTTCACTATGCATAGTTGCTGGAACTATTTGACAGTGAAGACCCTCGAGAACGAGATTTCTTAAAGACTACTCTACATAGAATTTATGGCAAATTCCTTGGCCTGCGCGCACTCATACGTCGATCGATCAATAATGTGTTTTTTCAATTCATATATGAAACTGAACGGCACAATGGTATCGCCGAACTTCTCGAGATTCTCGGCAGGTAAATGTCCTTGCAGATTCGTCTATTCATGGATGTCACGAGCCGGATGTCATTGTTGTAGCTGAAATTGATATAGTAGACTTTGATTTTTTCCTTACTACTAAGTATCATCAATGGCTTCGCATTGCCGCTAAAGGACGAACACAAAACTTTCCTGACAAAGGTGCTGATACCGTTACACAAAGTAAAATCTCTTTCATTGTATCATCCTCAGCTTGCGTACTGTGTGGTACAATTCTTGGAGAAGGATCCTACATTAACGGAAGAAGTAAGTAATGTCGGAGAGGGAGGGTTATTGTTAGAAATGTTTTTGTTTTTGTAAAAATCCATACATATACGCGCGCGCGTGCGCGTGCACGTATGTGTGTGTGTATGTATGTACGTACGTACGTTTTATTAATTAATT